ATACCACTGGGTAGCATACTAAAAGTGTGTTTTATATGGTTAAATAACCATACTCAAGTACAAATAATGTCTGAGGTTAATGTGGGTAAGGACAGCATAATAAAAATAATTGATCTTCTTAGAAGACAATGTTTTAAATATTATGTTAAAAACCCACTCGTCTTAGGCGGTGATGATATAATTATTCAAATAGATGAAAGTTCATTTAGACATAAACAGAAATACCATTTTGGGGAAAATCAGAGCATGAAATCCGGGTGTTTGAATTAACTGATGTATCTTACAAATCGGTTAAAATTTCGCTTCATTTAGTTCCAAACAGGGCCGCTAGTAAAAAACATACCTATTATTGAAAGAGTTTGAGCTCCAGCTACAGTTATACATTTTGATGAGTGGCGCGCTTATTCAGGTATTACTAGTAGATTGAGATTTTCTCACTCTACTGTAAACCACAGTAAGTCATTTGTGAATATCTTTGCAGGTGTTCATACACAAAATATTGAGAGTGTCTGGAATAGATGTAAGTATCTATGCAAGATGTATAAAGAAGTTTTAGCATCAAAGATGGAGTTAATTTTAAACGAATATATGTGAAAGACCAACATTGGTCATGATAAGAAATTTGAAGATTTAGTCAACTTATTAAGATTTGAATAAAATTTGCTTATTATTTTTTTTATTTTTTTATTAAAGGAGAAAATTTCCGAGTTGTTATTATCAAGGAAAAATTTCAAACTTGATCTGAAAATTTTATTATAAACACTAACAATCGCTATTTCAAGCACTTTTTAACTGCAGGATACAACAAAAATTTACTTGTTTAAGAAGATAATATTAATAATAATCTATTTTCTTTAAATTAAACAAATTAATTAGAGAATCTTTAAAAATTTTATAAATAAATTTATTAATTTGTATTTGTTTGTATATTTTTTGTATATTTTCCCCAAATAAAAAAAACAACATCTTCTTCTTTCTAAAATTTATATTAATAAACTTCATTAACAAAAGTTTTTACAAAATAAATGGTTTCTAAAATTTATTATAATCGATTATAACTGGTCAAGTAATTTTATGACAGTAATAATCATTTTTTGAGAACTAAAAATTGTGAAAAAAAATTTATAATAATAATATAGAAAATATATCCAAAAATTATATTTTTTAATTTTGTTTCTATTTTATAAAAAACTATCGATATCGTTATAGAATATATAACAACTTTATTTTATTTTTAAGATTACTTATGTCCAAACTTATTTCTTTATCATCACTTATCTATCGTCTTTAACGTAATCATCATCTTCTCTCAGTAGCCTTTATAGATAATAAAAATAACAACAATTGAATTTTAATTATCTTAAATAAAAAATTAAACAATTTTTATTATCTTTATCAATTTAATAGTAAGTATACATTTTTTTGACCGGTGTACAAGAAAATAACTAATTAAATCTGATGGCGTTCCACAACGTTTTGTTAAATAAAAAATTTTAACCCTTAATACAGTATAGTAAAATTTAGAATAAATCGTATAATAAAATTTTTATTGACTTTTTTAAAGCAATTTAAGTCATAAAACCTGTTGTCAAAAGGTAATATATATTTTGTACTAACTAAAGACTTTCTATTAAAAATTGAAAGAAAGTTAATATCGACTTATTTTTGAGGTATAAATCATGCCTTAAAGAATAGAGTTTCTCTTTTAATACATTCTTTTGTTATGGAGAAGGAAAGACACGACTTGTTACATCATTTTAAAAGTTAGTTAGCCTCATCATCTTTCATTTTAAAAAGATAGCAATATCGTATGTGTTAAATGCTACTCAAATCAAAGGAACTATTATAATGTATAATTACATATGATTAGAAGCTTATGATCATATCATGTGTTAAAATTAGAAGACCTAAGAAAGTTGTATAAATAGATGTTTCTATACTTTAATGTAGTCAAAAGTACAATCAAAGAAATTCCTTCTTGATAAATTTTAGAAGAATATGAATCAAAAATTCATACTAACAACTTTGATAATAGAGTTACCAAATCATAGGTTTTGAAAAGGTAAGAGAGAGTTCCACAAAATTTAGATGTTTGTTGTAGAGAGACAAAATACTAACAATTTATTATTACTGTTGTTTGAACTCGTAGATAAATAAAATGTCATTTTCTCAGATGGTTAAATATTTTACCGTTAATTAACTTTTTATTTTAGTAAACATAATTAACCACAGCGATTCTTCATGGAAATAATAAATAGGTGTCATATTAAGTTGTTAAAATGTATATAAAATCATACCAAACTTTAACCATGAAAAAAATAGAGTAACTAATATTGCTCTTTTATAAATCTATTTGCCGTGTTTTACCCTAGGGATACGACCCGTGATGACATATTGTGTGAAGTAAGACTTAATCTTACTTGTATCTGTT